AAAATGTATTTGCTTTCCCTATTTATAGAGTATTTTTTTCTATATCTAATGGTATAAAAAAAACTTATTAACGTAAAAAATTGAGTTAGCAGGTGTTATCACGTTTCACTGACGAAATAAAACTTTTGTAATGATACAAATACAAATATACTTAAAAAGTAAAAGTGTTTTGGTGTATTGTGGTGATTTAGTGTTTTATTTTGCTGTGTAACACCAAAGGTTCCAACCCTCAACTGTAATTTACACTTCTTGTAAAAGAAAACAAATAACTCTGTAAATATATCGATTTTATTAAAAACATTATGTACAATTAAGTAACGTTAATAGAAAGAAGGATCTCTAGAAAGGTTGAAAAGTGTCGGAAAAAAGTGCAATCCATTAAATTTAACCAGACATTTGTAGAGTCCATAATTAACAATTCTAAATCTGAATAAAAGCTATGAGAAAGATATCTATATTTATTACAAATAAATGGATGAGAATGATTGAGCTCAGGGTCATGATTCGATATTATTTTGATAGTACTTTTTTTGTCGAAATTGTAGAAAATGAATGCCCAGAAAACAGTATCACGGTAAGCTACGTTCATTCTTTCCGCATTGTAAAGGTTCAGATTTAGCCATCTGAGGGTGCATCCACATCATCCTAGAAAAAGCGGAACGGCGTATCGGCGTAACAACCTTGAATCAATTTCCAGAAATTCTATTGGCGGAAATTTTTGAGAGATGAATTTTTCAGCCAATAGAATTGCTGGAAATCGATTCAAGATCGTTACGCCAATACGCCGTTACGCTTTTTCTAGGATGATGTGAATGCACCCTGACCGGTTATCATTGTCGAATCCGTCCTGTCTCTAGAAGTGACGGTTTTCGGATCTCCTGGCATTTCTTTTTACCCTGTTCTGGATCAAGTGCACCAAACGTCGCGAGAACGACGATATTTTGTTCGATGGTCATATCAGGGAATATTGCCTTGTAGTTTTCTTTTCGTCCTTGGCGACGCCAACTTGCAGTCGCAGTCCTTCTGCTTGCGCGCTGTATTCCGCGCATCTAGCTTCGAACCTCGCTTTCAAACCTGAAAGAAACGGCAAAGTGAATTTGTCGGATTGATCGACTATTTTTGGGCAGTTTTTTTCGAGTTTTGTGCGCTCTTCAATGATATACAGGGTGTTCAAAAACATGTGCCATCTCTCGTGGGGAGATTCCCCACGTAAAAATAAAATCTATTTTTCATATCAACATAGGTCCGATTCTGCTTTGTTTCGTAGCTACAGGATGTTAAAATCTTAGATGTTAAAGTACTTTTAGTGATTCAAATGAAATTTTGAGGGTTTGGTTACTATAAGCATAGTATAAGGAAACTAGTAGTTTTACTCCTTGTCAAATCCTTTGTTCTTTTTCTGCCACTTTATATGACCTTGTTCTCGCCTCCCGTGACCACTGACGTAGCTGTATAGTCGTGGTCTATTAACTAGGCAAAGTATAGTCGTGACACTCGCCATAGTTTCACAGATATGTATTTAGGAAAATATGAGTTCACAATAAAATAAAATAAAATAAATTATCATCGAGTAAAAACTTGCTTGAAAACAGAATATTTTCACATTTCGTGTAGGTAACAATTCTTCTGTATCTGAAAATCTTCTGATGGGAAGAAATGCGGAAAAAATATATAATGACATATTTTTATATTATTATCTATTTCAGAGATTTTCTACAACTTTTTTTTGATTTAAAACAAGTTTAATTTTCTGTAGATAACTGGATTCGGCATCAAATTCTGCATATAGTACACTGTCTTTATTTAAAGCACACTGCGGTGTTGCCATTTTATTTCTTATTTACTAAAACTTTGGTTGCGATTATAACATTATATACGAAAAGTGGTAAAAAACTAGAGTGAATACAGCTTTATTAATACTTAGCTATATTTTCTTAAACCTGAAGGATACCAGAATAAATTCATGTAGAAAAATTTACTTTATCATATACAGGATATTTTTTATGGCGTCACCAAAATCGTAATGTTGTATCTCATTTTTCTTAAATGCAACACCTTGTATATTATTTTTCTTTCAGATGTAGAATTAAAAGGTGAACATTTTTTGTATTCAAAGTGTTCTTAAATTTTTAGCTGTTTTGCAAATATTTTCTGTTATTTCATAACGTATGGGATTTTCAACGATAAAATATTAGACAAAGATCATATTAGGTGGCTTTGATAAAAATTTAATGTTGAAAGAGCCATATGTAATATAATACTGCGAATATCTGCGAAACCGTTAAAAATTTACAAAACACTTTAAAGAAAAAAATGTTCACTTGTTAATTCTGACAGAAAAATAATATACAGAATGATGCATTTAAAAAAATTGAGATATACCATTTTAAATATTCCGATTTTGGTGACGCCATAAAAAATACCCTATATAGAATGATGTAAAATAATAAAAAAAATAAAACTAACTTTACCATAACTTTTTTGTGACACCCTGTATATTAACAAAATATTTTAGGATAGGCCCCTTTATAAACCTTGAAACATATGAATAAAACTTTTTTCACATCTTCGACAACGACGACGATATTGGACTTCCTCGCACTAATTGACAACCCTGTATATTTACGGTGGTTTAAAGCTAGGTGTGGCACTTTTCTTCCCTCAAATATAAACTCAATATTTTGTCTATAATATTTTGAATATTGTTATATTACGACCACTTATAATAAAAAAAAAACATAAAAAAATACAGTCCACTAAATTTATAAGTGATTATGCTATTATAAAATTCTTTCAATTAAAAAATATGAATAATTTGCAGATACTTTAGATGTATAAAATATTACTTATTTATTCTAAAATTGTTTCAAAAACCAATCTATATAAATTATCTCGTAAATTATTGGAATGAAAATTTTATGGCAAATCCCCTGACTAAAAAATATTTTCATGTACATATTTGAGACAACCTGTATATCTAAAAACTATTTTTAAAATCTGCCCATATGCTAAAAAAATAATAACAATTAATTAATTACTCAGTCTTCTAACTAATATCTCAGCTTTTAAAATAAACAAATATAATTAAATGTTAATTGATAATTACTATCAGCTTGCCGATTTACATCCGATGGAAATCTAGAAAACTCAAAGAACAATTTTTTGAATTTATTACTACAATTAATAGCAGCACACAGTAAGGCACTCATTTTTTTTTCAATCCATCTCTGTGCTGGGACGCAGCGCTCGAACCTCGCAGCTCAACGGACGGAATTCAACAGGGTTGCCACAAGAAAATTTTTGAATGTGCAGAATTTGACCATAAAAATGTGTAGCATTGTGTAGCAATCCATGACCAATAATTGTAAACTATCCAATAAGACCAAGAATAAGACGTAAAATCGCCAAATTTTAAAGCATAATTACGAGTCTCGATAAGAGTCTCAGTTCCACTCGTTTGTATACGTCAATATATTCATTTCCCATTTCATTTCTTCTCATGCCAGCAAATATTGCAATGACGTCAAAATTGATGTCGTGAAACTAACGATTTTATGGAAAAAATTAGACCGGTTAAAAAAGTCTGTTTAAAAACTGTAAACAATTGAGGACTGTTTAATCGGCCAAATTTGTCCATAGAAACTGCAGTCCTTGCTGATATGGGAGGAAAAGTGAAATAGGGATTGAATATTATTCACGTATGCCAACGAGTGGTCCGAACTACAGTGAAATTTGGCCTCTGAATTTGGCCAAAGTACGTGTTATGTATTATTTAAGGAATTAAGCAATCCTGTCTATTTACCGTTTTTGACTCGACCAATAGATGACCGAAAATGATATTTGTCAGTTCAAAATTTAAAGTTCACTTGAGGCCTCTTTTAATGTAACTTAGATAACTAAAACGCAAAAAAAACAGCTTTTGTCAGCTGATTTACTGTTCTGGTATTATTTTTTATAATAAATATGTGAATTCTCAAAATGTGTAGCACAGGCCATTCTGGTGTAGCTGTGCAGTCATGGAAGCAAATGTGTAGCAAAATACACAATTGTGTAGCTTGTGGCAACCCTGGAATTCAACTGAAACGCTTTGCAATCTGCCGATATTCGACAGATTGCAAAAACTGGCAGAAAATATTTGCGAAAGTGCAACTACTCTTTTCCTTAAACTATGCTATAAGTGCTACATATTTTAATGCTAAAAAAGTGTCGGTAAATTTGGCAGGGATGGAATGGATATGGAATGGAAACGGAAGGTATAGTGAGGATCAACCTTTACACTTCTTGTAAAAGAAAACAAATAACTCTGTAAATATATCGATTTTATTAAAAATATTATGTACAATTAAGTAACGTTAATCACATTCAAGCAGACATCTAAAGCCTGTCTATTATTGTCAATAAGGTTTGATTAATAGAGCTCTATAAAGTTTTTTTAATAGAAAGAAGGATTTCTAGAAAGGTTGAAAAGTGTCGAAAAAAAGTGCAATCCATTAAATTTAACCACATTTAAGTAGACATTTGTAGAGTTCATAATTAACAACTTTAAAGCTTCGTTCGGAACCTCGCAATTAGTGGAATAAATTAGTGGTTTCAATTAGCGTAGAAGTTTGTTCCTTTAATTTCAATGTAAGCATTCAGAACGTCAAAAATTAATGGTAGACATTTTCAATTAGTAGAAAAAGTTAACAAACTTTTAACTTTTCCACTAATTATACTTCAAAATTTGGGAAAAATGTCATTTTGGCCTTTGATATTCCTCCGTCAAGAGAAATTGTGGTTAGAAATCAAAAATTGATTGTTTTATAATCTAAATATTAGGCTTTCTTTATGGATACAACTGACTGACGCAAGCTGTTTCTAGGATATTCTATTAATTTTAATTGTTTTTTAAATATTGTGAATGATCGTAAACTAAAAAATATAAAGTGTAATTGAAAGCACACTAATTTATTCCACTAATTGCGAGGTTCCGAATGAAACTTAAATATGAATAAAAGCTATGAGAAACACATATTTATATTTATTACAAATAAATGGATCAGATTTAGGCATCTGACCGGTTATCATTGTCGAATCCGTCCTGTCTCTAGAAGTGACGGTTTTCGGGTCTCCTGGCATTTCTGAGCATGTACACGACCAAGGTCGCCAAACGTCGCGAGAGGATGATATTTTGTTCGATGGTCATATCAAGGAATTGCCTTATAGTTTTCCTTTCATGCTTGGCGATGCCAACTAGCAGGTGCAGTTCTTCTGCTTGCGCACCGTATTCCGCAAATCGAGCTTCGAACCTCGCTTTCAAACCTGAAAGAAACGGCAAAGTGAATTTGGCGCATTGATCAACTATTTTTTGGGCAGTTTTTTACGAGTTTTGTGCGCTGTCCAATGATATACAGAGTGTTTTAAAAAAACATGTGCCGTCTCTCGTGGCGAGATTCCCCACGTAAAAATAAAATTTATTTTTCATAGGTCTGATTCTGCTTTGTTTCGTAGCTACAGGGTGTTAAAATCTTAGGTGTTAAGTACTTTTAGTGATTCAAATGAAATTTTGAGGGTAAATGTTACTATAAGTGCTACCTATTTTAATGCTAAAAGTGTCGATAAATTCATCAAGGACGTACATATGGGTTATCATTGGAATATGCGCCCCGGTTTTTTTTTCTTATGATTCAGAATTGTGTAGGCCGTTTAATACCAATTAAAAGTTGATGAGATATAAACGCAATTTTATTAAAATTAATATATTTTATCTTATTTATTATTAAATATTATTACTAATAGTTATTAGTACTATTAGTCCAACCTACAGAAATTTCAAATAAAAATATAATGGTATTTAAGATAATTACAAAAAAAAAATTAGAAAGTTTTAACATCCTGTAACTCTAAACTATGCATTTCCATACCTATAATTATAGGGACTTTTTTTATATTTTTTGATGAGGAATCAATGAGTACTTAATTAAAGCTTTCTCAAGTTAATGATATTAAGATTTTTTTAAAAGTTGCTATTAGACTTGGATCAAGATAAATTAATTGCGTTTATCTCATCAAGGATATATATATCCTTGATGATATATATATATATATATATATATATATATATATATATATATATATATATATATATATAACCAAAACTAAGAAGAAAATTCTTGGGGATAGCGGTCTAGAGGCACAAAATTAAACAATTTATTACAAACGCCGAGCTTTCGGAAAATATATTTCCTTTTTCAAGGCTAAAAACATATCACAAAAGTCAACTGAATATAATATAATATTATATAAACTTACGTGTAAAAAGTTTAATTATAAAAATAGAAAAATATATCAATTTCCATATGGAAGAAAGGAACTAAAATTTTGTATAAAAGTTAAAATCTTCTTAAATATTCATGATTTCTGACATTACTAAAAATTATTTTGACATAGAAAGGTAAATTTAATTATTAATAAAAAACACGTAAAAAACATATAAGGTTAATCACAAGTTACAAATAAAAATAAAGAAAAAATCAAATTTTAAATATTATTTTTATTTTTAATAAAATGGAGTAAGAAAGAATATATATTACTAAGATCCTCAATATCTTTTCTTTTATTAATACAATTATCATTAATGTAAATTTCTACCATTTCAAGAAAAAGTCTTTTATTAGTATTAAATTCAGTATCCAAAATTTTTGCATTTTTAAAATCAATATTATGTAGTGTATCAATCACATGTTCTGATAATGCACAACTACGTTTACATAATCTAAAATCACTAATATGTCTATTAATACGTTCTTTAAGAACAGTAGAAGTTTGTCCAATATAAGAAAGATTACAATCAAGACAACTAATATTATAAACAACACCAGATTTATATAAAGGAAGATCTAAATCTTTTAATTTAGTATATAAATTATTAATCTTTAATATATGTTTACCACATATTTTAACCTGTTGAGGAATAGATAAGATCTTTGTTAAATTATTATTTAAGGAATTTACATACGGTAATGAGAAATAATAACCGTTAACATTATTGTTATCAATATTATCACAAAGTTGAACATCATAAGCAAGAACATTATTACTCGAAATAACATTATTATGTAAGTTTTCTCCAAAACTTGATTGATCATTAACCAACAAATTATTATATAAAAATTTCTTTAATAATAATTCAGGATATGAATTTTGTAATAAAATATTATAAATTCTTTTTAAGTTTTTCGACAAAAATTGAGGATGGCAAATTCTTCTAATTCTATTATTTAATCCGACAATTAAATTAATTTTCATTTTTAGTGGATGGTATGAGTTAAAATTCAAATATCTGCCTGAATAAGTAGGTTTTGTATACCAATCTACTAAGATAAAGTTATCAAATGTCCTAATAACTTTTGTATCAAGGAAAGGAACGCTATAATCAGTTTCTGTTTCAATAGTAAATTGTATTTTTTCATGATATGAATTAAAAATATCCATAATGATATCAATCTTATCAAAAGGTACAGATGTAATTATATCATCTACATATTTTTTAAAAAATGGTAATTGAAAATTTAATTTTGGTATACACTCATTTAATAAATCATCCATAACATATTGTGAAATAATTGGAGAAACAGTAGCACCCATTGGTGTACCAAAAATTTGCTTGTAAAATTTTCCTTCAAATTTACAATAAGTTGAATTAAAAATAAATTCAACAATTTCTAAAAAATTATTTTTATTTAATAATGTGTTACTAGAAATATCCAACCAATGCTTCTCAATACTATTCTTAATAAGACAATAAGGAATGTTACTAAATAATGAAACAACATCAAGACTTATCAGAACATAATTTTGAGGAATTCTTTTATTCATAATAAAATCAACAAATTTAAAAGTATCATGAGTAAAATATTCATTATCTTGATTATAAGACAAGGTTAAAACATTAGTAACATATTGAGACCATTTACTATTAGGAGAATTTATTGAAGAAACGATTGGTCTTAAAGGTATATTTTCTTTATGGATTTTAGGTAAACCATAAAATTTTGGAGAACTTTGATTGTAAATAGTTAATTTCTTACAAAATTCAGGAGTTAATTTATTTTTAAATTTAGAAACTAGTTTATTAGCTTTTTGTTGAAAAGTAGAAGTTGGATCTCTATCAAGTACTTTATAATAATTATTGTCAGAAAGAATTTCTAACGATTTTTGACAATATTCTTCCTTAGTTATAATCACTGTAATATTACCTTTATCAGCTTTAGTAACAATCAAATTAGGATTAGATTTAAAAAATTCTTTAGTATCTAAATATAATTTTCTCATAAAATTGTTATTACTAATGGGTTTATGAATATAATTAGTTAAAACATTTGTAACTTGTGATCTCACAATATTTCTTAAATTTTTAATCCAATTATCATTAACATTTAAAAATTTATTATTTTGAAAAATATTAAAATTATTAATCTTCTTTATGTTATTCTTTTTAATATTTTTGAATTTTTTTTCATTAGATAAATTTTGAAATTCATAAAAATTATTTAAAATATATTCAAGAAATAAATTAGAAAGATTAGTTTTTAAATTATTAATAAATTTTTCAATAAAATTAATATCTTTCAAAGTAATATCTATCTCAAAATTTAAAATTTTTTGGTCTAACCTATTTAAAAAGTCTAAAAATGAAAATTAATTTAATTGTCGGATTAAATAATAGAATTAGAAGAATTTGCCATCCTCAATTTTTGTCGAAAACCTTAAAAAGAATTTATAATATTTTATTTAACTTAAAAAGAATTTATAAGAATTATTATTAAAGAAATTTTTATATAATAATTTGTTGGTTAATGATCAATTAAGTTTTGGAGAAAACTTACATAATAATGTTATTTCGAGTAATAATGTTCTTGCTTATGATGTTCAACTTTGTGATAATATTGATAACAATAATGTTAACGGTTATTATTTCTCATTACCGTATGTAAATTCCTTAAATAATAATTTAACAAAGATCTTATCTATTCCTCAACAGGTTAAAATATGTGGTAAACATATATTAAAAATTAATAATTTATATACTAAATTAAAAGATTTAGATCTTCCTTTATATAAATCTGGTGTTGTTTATAATATTAGTTGTCTTGATTGTAATATTTCTTATATTGGACAAACTTCTACTGTTCTTAAAGAACGTATTAATAGACATATTAGTGATTTTAGATTATGTAAACGTAGTTGTGCATTATCAGAACATGTGATTGATACACTACATAATATTGATTTTAAAAATGCAAAAATTTTGGATACTGAATTTAATACTAATAAAAGACTTTTTCTTGAAATGGTAGAAATTTACATTAATGATAATTGTATTAATAAAAGAAAAGATATTGAGGATCTTAGTAATATATATTCTTTCTTACTCCATTTTATTAAAAATAAAAATAATATTTAAAATTTGATTTTTTCTTTATTTTTATTTGTAACTTGTGATTAACCTTATATGTTTTTTACGTGTTTTTTTATTAATAATTAAATTTACCTTTCTATGTCAAAATAATTTTTAGTAATGTCAGAAATCATGAATATTTAAGAAGATTTTAACTTTTATACAAAATTTTAGTTCCTTTCTTCCATATAGAAATTGATATATTTTTCTATTTTTATAATTAAACTTTTTACACGTAAGTTTATATAATATTATATTATATTCAGTTGACTTTTGTGATGTTTTAGCCTTGAAAAAGGAAATATATTTTCCGAAAGCTCGGCGTTGTAATAAATTGTTTAATTTTGTGCCTCTAGACCGCTATCCCCAAGAATTTTCTTCTTAGTTTTGGTTATAATTGATCGGTCAAGACTTCCTCTTTGTATATATATATATATATATATATATATATATATATATATATATATATATATATATATATATATATATATATATATATATATATATACAGGTGTCCCAATAAATAAGTGCAAATATTTTAACTGGTAGTATAGTTCAACCCCAGAAACACGCCTATGAGGTTTTTTTGCGAAAAAAAAATGTTGAAAATTAAAAATTTTTTCTTGACATTTTCAAAAAAATTGAGAAAAACTTTCTCTACGGTGTATCTAAACCTTGCAGTGTTGCAACCTCCTATGTTATCTACATAGTTCTACATTTATAAATTCATAGAAAAATTTCTACTCAGAAATTAGGAATGTTAAATTTTTATCAGTGCTCATTATTAATAATTATTATAGAAAAAAAACACATTAATTATTTTATTTTTAGTACTTACCCTTTCAATGAAAACTTAACAAAA